TCTGGGTCATTCAATTATTCCTGTGACTGTGAGCTGTGTTTTAAGTCCTATGGTTTATGCCAGCTCTTGATCTCAGCGCAAGTCTTATTCTCAGGGTTGTGAGTGCAGGCACCGTGTTGGGCTCAAAAAGGGTTCCCAGAATACCCAGTTTTATTAAGTACAAGAAAAATAAGAAAAAGTGGGTACTGTTTCATTTTTAACAAATATAATGATGTATGATACTAATAACTCTTATTTTTTTATTCATTCAAAAGTTTTTTACTGAGTTCCTACAATCTACTAGCCACATTTATAGCCCTTAGGAATGTACCTTCAAACAGTATAAAGTCCTTGCTCCTCTTCAAGCTTACATTTTAGTCAAGAGTTAAACACAAAAATAAACTACATTTTAATTCATGAGTATCACAGTGAAGTACAAAGTAAGGTAAATAGATGGAGCATAATAGAGGAAAAAGATTCTATTTTATGTGGAGACATCAGGAAAATCCTTTTTGAGGAGGTAATAATTGAGCAGAATTCTGACTGCTGAGTGAAATGAATGACCAATGAAATTGTCAGTCTTCACTGAGTCTAAATGTGAAGAAATATTAATCTATTGTTGGTTTGAAGGAATGCTTTTCCATTGATTTAGTAGTTCAGCTAGTCTTTAAGTTAAGGCTTACAAACTGCTTTGATAGATTAGAAGCCTCATCATATACTTACATAAGTAATACCTCGATACTGAAGTAAAAAATTTATAGATATAGAATACCATTATTAATTGTACAACAATGCAGAGAGAAAAGGGAGATAAAAATGGGGAAAGATGAAAGAAGAAAGACTTGCATCAGCCTTCTGCTTCCATCCATATTAGCCCAATTCTATGACATGGTAGCTGAGCCCACATAGTGATTTCTACCAAATTAAAGAATTATATGATACAGTTTTTCACAGGTTTTATATGTTAACCCTATGCCAAGAACTGTGCTAAGTCCTTTACCTGTGTCAACAAAAGCATTTGATTGTTTGCTTTCAGAAATTCTCTGATCAGTAATGATGACTGATTGAGAAAATGGGAAGGAAAAACATGGCATTTATCGAAAGGGTATTTTTGCTGCCAAGGATGTTTATCTTTCTTTTCTTTGTTTGCACCTGATTTTACTGTTGAATTTAGCAGCAGTAGGAATTGAATCATAAAACCAGTGTTTTCTAAGGGGAGCAAAAAATCGTCCAGTGTTATTCATCCAGTCATATGACTTAAGGCATTGAACTTCTCTATTGTTGAGGTCTGTAATGTGATATTAGGTTGTTTGAATAGTTAAGACCATAGGAACTATCTCTAATATGGTTTAATCAGAATTGTAAGCTTAGCTAAGGTAATCATTATAGGCTATGTGGAAAAATGCTTATTGATGTTAACTGTTTTAAATAGAAGCAGACATATGGGAGTGTCTTAAGTGTAAATACCAAAATTTGAAGTATTAAATAAAGCTGATTTTTTTTTTTTTTTGCCTTGCGGGGAAAAAATCCTTGTGATTATCTTTGTGAGAAGAATCTTGAAGTTGGAATTGGCACTAATTTGGCCAATATGACCAAATTACTTTTGGGGGGTTTTAAAATTCTATTTCTTAATGTAAAGAAATTTTGAGTGTTTTATATTTTTTTGTATGTGCACACATATACATAATCTTCACTGGTCTGAAAGAAGTGACACAGGAAAATGTATTCTCTAAACCCCCTAGAAAAAGAAAAAAGAGGAATTCCAGTTCTGACTCATGGGTTGTAATATAGGACCCATTGACTAAATAAACATGAGATGATTCTGGACAGCTTGGTAAAACTTTATTTTCTAATTTATTAAATATAATTTTAAAGTTTTGACAAGCCTTCACAAATATATTTTTTAAATAGCTCTTAAATTTTAGGCTAAATTAATAAGATTTATTTTTCTAATCTTTTATATGTATTAACATATTTAATCTTCAGAACAGCCTTATAAAGTAGAATACCATAGTTGTCACTTTACAGATGAAGAAACTGAGGCACAATGATGTTAATTTGTCCAAGGTCATATAGAGAAAGGGGGCTCCGTGATGTGCCCAGGTGGTCAGTCAGTTAAGTGTCTGCCTTAGACTTATATCATGATCCCAGAGTCTTGGAATCGAGCCCCCGCCCCAGCAGGGAGTCTGCTTCTCCTTCTTCCCCTGCCTCCTCCTCCCCGCTCCCACTCATGCTTTCAGGGTCTCTTCTCTCTCTCTCAAATAAATAAATAAAATCTTTTCTAAAAAAGGGACTCCACTGAGATTTAAACCCAGGAGTATACCCTTTTCACCACTATTGGCATTGACTGTAGCACCAGTTTAAAATATGCCACAATTTAATCTCTAATGGATAGCTAATAATAACTTTATCATAGATACAGTAAATAAGCATGTTTTTAGAAGGAGCTTCTTTCAGTTACTGATGGAAAAGAGGTTGGTTTATTTGTAGTACATGGAAGTAAGACAGTTTGGACATAGGAAGCAAAATACTTAGCTTTTTGCCAACTACTTTGAAAGTTAATACTAAAAACAGTTGGACACAGTGCCAAATCAATGACAAACTAATTTTTTTTGCCCCCTTCCAAAAAAGACTAGACATCCTAATGAATATTTAGTATGTATCAAAATGTGAATTAACTTATTTTATTTAAATTAATGTTTTAATATGATCTTTTTCCTTTGTCTGTGCACACATACACATAGTCTTGCCTCATCTGAAAAAAAGAAGTAATAGGAAAACAGAAGACTTCTCTTTGAATAATTCAGTTAAAATTCACTTTAATTAACACATGAATGCTTATTTACAAGGAGTTGTGTGCATAGATCTGCATGAATTATGTCAGATTGATAAAGATTGCTTAGTTAACTTCCAAAAGTTCCTTGTTCTTTGAATACGCAGATGATACTAATAGTGAACAAACTTGTAAGAGTTAGACATATTACTGAGATGCTCTAACCAGAAGAACAGCTTCCACCAAATCCTTAATTTTCCTAATGTAAACAAATTAATAAAAGGCTTTGTTGCTAAGTTTTTCTTTTGTAGACAAGTATTTTCTTTTCAGTGAATCGGTATGTTGCTGGGAGTGGGTAAACATCAATATAGAGTTGCTAGTGGCAGTTTAATTAGGTGGGTTTTTTTAAAAGTGATTCAGGCTTGTGAGCTGTATTTTCTATAAATTTAAATGTGCTGTTAATCTCTTGTGAAGATTTGGGGCACCTTGGTGGCTCAATTTATTAAGGGGACTGCCTTTGGCTCAGGTCATGGTCCTGGAGTCCCAGGATCAAGTCCCGCATGGGGTTCCCTGCTCAGCAGGGAGTCTGTTTCTCTCTCTGACCCTCCCCCCTCTTATGCTCTCTCCCTCTCTCTCTCAGTCTCTCTCAAATAAATAAATAAAATCTTTTAAAATAATGATAATAATCCCTTGTGAAGATTATCCATCTCAAGTTTGCAGGTTTTCCTATTCTAGAGACCCCTTTAAAAAGTCTTTGTTCATGTGGTTAAAGAGTATTGCATTTATCCTGTCAAACAGTTATTTGTGCACAGAACAAATGAGTAAGTGAGAACAGTTTTTATTTAGAATGCTGTCATTAGGGCAGAATTCCTGTTGGTTTACTCTAAGCAGTAAGAAAGTGTTTGCTGTGCTAAGCACCGTACTGATTACTTGACTCTTCCTGCTGCTCCAGGTGGGGAGCGGGGTAGACTCTAGAAGGAGAAAGACTGACTCAAACTGTCATTGATCCCTTACTCATGATACCCGTAGTGGTAAATTTTCTTTTCACCTGTGCTATGATTATCCTTTCTTGGTGGAGGATTCATTACTGGTGTCTAAAATCTGGAGTACTGTAGGGCTGTATTTCATGAACATAGAACACTAGTTGTGTAAGGTATTGATAGGTGTAAAGTAAGGGGAAAAAGAGGTTTGTAAGCAAAAGGGTAACACATAGTTAAGATATGTTCAGTAGTCCTCTTTACCGTAACACTTCCCAGAACTATCAGCGTGATGACATGCATTATGAATCTCAAGAGGAGGATAAAGCATCTGGGTTTCTTAAAGATTCCCTTTTTTTTCCTTTCTTTCTTTTTCTTTTCTTTCTTCCTTTCTTTATTTATTTACTTTTTTAACAGAAGAGAAACTCACTGGATAAGAAGCTCTTTGGGAAATGCTATTCTAGACTAGGCTTTCTTTTTCTTTTCTTTCTTTCTTTTTTTTTTTTAAGATTTTATTTATTTCTTTGCCAGACAGAAATCACAAGTAGGCTGAGAGGCAGGCAGAGAGAGGCGGGGGGAAGCAGGCTCCCTGCTGAGCAGAGAGCACGATGTGGCCTTCCAATCAGGACCCTGGGATCATGACCAGAGCTGAAGGCAGAGGCTTTAATCCACTCAGCCACCCAGGGGCCCCTAGACTACGCTTTCTTAACCTTAGCCCTATCAGCTTTTGGGGTTGGACCATTCTTTGTCATAGAGCTTCTTGCGCATTGTAGCATGTTTATCAACATTTCTTGGCTTTACCTGACTAGATGCCAGTAGCACCCTTCCTTCCCCCCGGGTTGTGATCATCAAAAATGGCACTAGATATTGTCAGATGTCCTCCAGTGGACAAAAATCTGGTTGAGAGCCACTGTCTGGATTAATACTGCAATATTCTCGGTAATTAGAGGGTACATTAACAATTTCTGTCTCAGATTTTCCTTTTAATGAGGAAGAAACAATGGTCTAGAAAGCAGAAGCACAGATTAAGAAGGTTCAGTACATTTGACTCTAATAAACTGTCTGGGTCCTCTTTATACCCTGGCCTGATTTTTTAAATGTACTTGGAGAATTTAATGCAAAAAGTAACTTCAAACTTTGTAGAAAATTACATGGCAGAGACAAAAAAATAATCTTTTATAGAAAGAGTAGCCCAGATATTTAAGTTGATATACTTTTGAGGATATTGATTACACATTTCTAAAATCCTTTTTTTATATTTATTTATGCAGGGCTATTTTCTTCTTTTTGAGTCTATGTTAGATTCTGTCCTTTATGCAAAGAACAAATACTTGGCAAAAGGAGGATCGGGTGAGTAAAAATTCTAGTTTTAATAATGTAATTTTAGTCTGGCAGAACTAAGTGAACCTTTGGATTTCAAATAAACTATGCATGACTGAGAAACTTCCCAATAGAAATGAAAGATGTTTCCATAAGATGAAGTTTGAAGACAGTCGTTTACTATACTGTTGATAGTAGAACGTTATAGAAAATATGCAGGACTCTAAGTTAATGGTATTTCAAGAATGCTTTGTATAAAAATACTAGTGGTAGGACTAGCTTTGGAAGCTATTTGATGTTGAAATCAAAACCTTAACAGAAACTCCTTTTGATTTTTAATCCTTATGACATCTAGGTGTTTGTTTTTTTCTAAAAGAGTATTTCATACTAGGTTGGAAAGTACCTACTTTACTGGAAAATTTTCCATGACTTCACTAAATATATAAACCTGTCATCTCTGTAATTTAATGAGAACATTTAAAAAAATGACTGTTTATGAAGTGCGGCATACCCAATCAGTATTTTTTATACTGGACGTTCGGGATTTTTTATCAGTATTTTTTATTGGATCCCAATAAATTTGGAAAGCTTTCTCATGTTCTGTACACTGTAAGTGAGATTGTGTTTTTATAAGCCTTCTGCTGTGAACAGTTATATGCAAACAGTCCGTTTCAAGGCAGGGATTTTATTTTGTTCATATTTGACTCTTGAACAAGCTCTACTGCTCCTGGAACATAGATAGAGCATCATGTAAGTTTATTGAATCAAATCATTAAAACTGAATTGAATGGCATCTGTCTCCCTTCATTCACCTCTCCCTGAACCTTCACTTTCTCAAACCTTCAAGATCAACAGGTGGTTTCTGTGGCCAGAGTACAGTTGTTAAAATTATTGTGTAAAGGGGCACCTGGATGGCTCAGTTGGTTAAGTGTCTGCCTTTAGCTCAGGTCATGGTCTCAGGGTCTTGAGATGGATCCCTGCTCAGTGGGGGGTTCGCTTCTCCCTTTCCCTCTGTCCCTTTCCTTCCCTCCCCTCCCCTCATCTCATGCTTTCTCTCTGTCTCAAATAGATAAATAAAATATAAAATCCGAAAAATTATTATGTAAAAAAAGGTAGATGAAAATTGGACATTTTGAACTAGTGACATAAAGCCTCGATCATAATTATGCCTCCTGCCCATCCATATTCTGTGAAATCACTTTGGCAATTATGGTACCGTAAAAATCAGTGAGGCCAAAACAAAGCGCAGAAAATTCTCCAGTACAATAGAATTCTTTTATAATAGCTTTTAAATTGTTTGCCTTTCTTTTTCAAAATACTTTCATTTATTTTATCACTATATTTCCTGCAAGCATTTCAAGATGTATTACTGATCTCTGACATGAACCTGGCTAGAATTTTTAGATATACTTTACCCTGCAAAAATTGGCTACATCTATCTATAGTTGAGTGGCTTTTTTTAAATGACTGTTATACTTAGAGACTGAAACTAATACCATCTACCATTTGTTGATTGTCTACTAGCTGCTTAATACTATACTTTTATTTATATTATTACATGTTTAATCGTCACAACAGCCCTCTGAATTTTAGAAACAAAGGTGTCCTAGAGGACGCGTCTTAAGTGGTCAAGCTTTGACTGTTTTTTTTAAAAACTGAGATCTGCCAATTCCAATATTCATGTTCTTTTCAGAATCCCTTTTTGTATCCCTACTAAAGTGTACTTTTTTTATTCTGATTCTTGCCTTGACATTCTAGGGAAGATTCAGGAAACTGTTTCCACACCTCCCCAAATGGTATTCATTGATCTTACTGAAGGACTGACAGCAACTTAATGCATTTAAATTGAACTCTCAGTGAAATTCATTAAGAACTTACAGCATGAAAATAATGAGGTTATAGTTGGTGAAACAGTAGCAGAGTATTGAAGAGAGGGCAGCATTTAGCTGCCTAGGCAGTGCTATTGAATGTTGCTTATTGACAGAATTGAGAAAAGAAGGCAAAGTCAGAAATGAGTAACGTGAAGTAGACCATTTAACTTCCTTTGTGTTTGAGAATGCCTAATGAATATCACCAGTCATCAGGTGCTCGTTCTTCTGTTACAAAGCAAATTTTTCTTTTATGTTTTTCTGAAAGAAAGACTTAATAAGCAGTTAATGCAATGATTGTTTAAAAAGAATGATGTGAATTATGAGAGAGGGGAAAATACTAAAGATTCATATAAGCATGAAGGGACCACAATTGATATTTTTCCATGAATTTAGGTACAGTTTATGTCTCACTATATATAAGATGGTATGGAGGAAGTCCTTTATAAAACACAGTCAGCCAGAGTGTATATTCTCCCTATTATCACCAAGCAAATTCTCCAGTATTATTGACCACTATTACTACTAATAAAAATGATTTTATAAAGTTAATGGAAATGTATTTACTAAAGATTGCTTCTACTATTTTTAGCTAATATTTATAAAGCACAAGCTGTGTTCAGGAACCATAGTGTTTTACATTCAGCTAACCTATAGATAAAGAGGAAAACTAAGAAAATTATATGCTGTAGACAGGGAGATGGGTTAAATACCTAATGGGTATAAGGAGGGGCACTTGTCATGAGCACAGGGTATTGTACGTAAGTGACAAATTATGAAATTCTATACCTGAAGCTAATATTGCGTTGTATGTTAGCTAGCTGGAATTTAAATTAAAAATTGGGGGGAAAGAATGATGTGCTATGACCTATGCGTATTTCTACAACTAGAATTAAGACAAAAACAAATGTATGTTTTAGGATGATTACCTAGAATGTGTGTGTGTGTGTATTTTATACCCTAACAGTGTCAAATACTACATTTTACAAAAACTGGAAAAAGAATGCAGGAGACAGGTGGGAAGAAGCTTATATACTTGAGTTGCATTATCTTTAATAGCAAGAATTCATGGAATCTCATTTAAAGCTGACAAATCAAGTAATAGAATTGTAAGCACATTTAGCACTGCAGAGTTAATATTAAAATAGTAGTATTGATTACAATCTAGTGGTAAGGATTGTGGTGAGAGACTCTATCTATATCAATTGTAGTGGTGATTACATGACTGTATGTGTTTATCAAATCACGTACAATAATACACCAAAAAGGCCAAAAAGAGCAAGTCTTTTTTTTTTTTAAGATTTTTTATTTATTTATTTGACAGACAGAGATCACAAGTAGGCAAAGAGGCAGGCAGAGAGAGAGGAGGAAGCAGGCTCCCTGTGGAGCAGAGAGCCCAATGCGGGGCTCGATCCCAGGACCCTGGGATCTTGACCTGAGCTGAAGGCAGAGGCTTTAACCCACTGAGCCACCAAGGCTCCCCAAGAGCAAGTTTTATTATTGCATATAAATTATACCTTAATAATAGTGACATTTAAAAAACGTGAAGTGCCATTTCCCACCTTGAAGTCAGTTGGACTATGACATGGTTTGATTTCTACTAAGCTGCGTATTAACTCTGTGCCCACTTCTGTATTCGCTATTAGTATCATCAATACATCTATCTTTTGAATTTAAAAAATAAATATGAGAAAAAGGGAAGGGAGGAATAAAGAAATATACTAATTTCATCATTGTTCATGATAGGAGATTAATAGTGTTGAAAATAGAGAACTGAAAGTATTCTGTAATGTAATTACAAAGTTAGCTATGAAAACAAAACCACAAACTTCCTAAATGTAAGAACTAATCCTTGGGAAAAAGTCCAAAAGATCATGTAGTGAATTACTTAAAAACAAAAGAAAAATTACAGATACAGAAAAGATAATATAAAATGGTAAAGGATGATCCAAAAAAATGTTTGTCATATCCATAAATGTAAACGGGTTAAACTCACCTTTTCAGAGAAAAAAAAAGTTCAGTTTGGATCACAAAAAAAAAAAAACAAAAAACAAAACCAAACCATAATTCTCTATACTTTATAGAGGCATACCTAAAACAAAATTATTTGGAAAAGTTTAAAGGATGAAAAAGGATAGGCAAATCCCCTCATAATGAAAGTAGTAGTCATGGTGTTATTGATACCAGACAAAAGGGAATTGGAGCAAAATGTTGTATAATCAATCATATGAGTAGGGCTTAGAGCTAAGACATAAAATCATGCCCGTATTCATAGATAGTCAGAAGGTTTTTCATAAAATACAATTTATATTCTTGATTTTTTTAGATGAGAAAATATGAATAGTGAGATATCAATAATAAATATCAATAAATATCAATAAATATCAATAAATATAATAAATTAAAAATATAAATATAATAAATATAATAAATATCAGTAATAGCTTATATGATAAAGTATACTTATCTCAACTGAAAATCTGTATCATGGTTAATGGGGAAATACTAAACACATTTCCTCTATAATTAAAACAGAATTTAGATGGCTACTATTACACCATTATTTAATATTTTACCAACAGTACTAGTCAGTACTGTTAGAACATAGAAGATAAATCACAAAGGAGATAAGGGGCGTCTGGGTGGCTCTGGGTTAAGCCTCTGCCTTTGGCTCAGGTCATGATCTCAGGGTCCTGGGATTGAGCCCTGCACAGGGCTCTCTGCTCAGCAGGGAGCCTACTTCCCCCTCTCTCTCTCTGCCTGCCTCTCTGCCTATTTGTGATCTCTCTGTGTGTCAAATAAATAAATAAAATCTTTTTTAAAAAAAAGAAAAGTAGATTAAACTAATTTTTTTGTAGATTTTGTGATTCAGACCTAGGCACTTCACGTGAATCAACTGAAAAATGATAACAAATAATAAAATAGTTTAGTACATTATTGAGCCACAAAATAACATAACTAGAAATAAAACTTATATGCAAACAGCTTTACTACTAAAACACAGAAGGAGGATAAATAATTTTAAAGATAGACCATGTTCTTATAAAAAGACAATCAGTGCCATAAGGATATTGATTTTCCCAAAAATAATTTAAAATTTAGTGTAATCCAGAAACATTGACATTTGTTGAAGATAGATGATAAGTACATGAAAGTTAATTA